CCATGTATAGGTATGCACTACAGAATTTATTACAAAAGAACTGGTGAATTTTAATTCAATGGAAGGTTTGAATTGCCAACTCCATACAATGATACTGTATTACCAAATGCATGGGAGATTGAAAATAAATCACCATTTATTAACATAGATTCAAGTGGACTTAAAGTGGGTTAAACAGATTAACATCTAGAATCGTTGAGCGGAAACCGTTGATAGTTCAACTATCAAAAATTTCCAAAGATCCTGATGATAAAGCAATAATAATTCGAGCAAATCATCCAATTCCTTTAGAGTGTGTAATATTTACTTTGAAATTAAAATTATTAATAAAGGAAACAATGGATATGTTAATAGTTATTTCATTTTCATCTTATATCACCTTTATTCTTACGATTTTTCATAAATCTTTAATTATAATTATTGATAGAATGATTGAAGTTGGATATTGTACAAAACAAAACGATAAAGAATTAGTGTAAAAACAAATTATGTATATGACATTCTCATGCCAGGTAATAGTAGATTTTATTCTATTATAAATTAACATTAAATATCATACATAATATTCTTTAGGACAAGAATATAAGGAAATGGATTGTGGGAATGTGGTTACCATGGCGACGATGGATATTCATTTTGTTCTGGTAGTGGCGAGCCGTATGGACCAACATATACTACTGGTGACATTATTGGATGCTATTTAAACTTCTTAAAGAAGATATATAGTATTGTATATGTACTAAAAAGGAGGGTGTCAACCTAGGTAATTAACACTTTAAAAATTAAGCTTTATACTTTACAAAGCAAAGTAAGTAATATTTATAACATATTTAAGGAATTACGTGTCATCTTCCTGATGATTCAATGGTATTATTATTATATATCCGTGTGTTGGATTTAGTTTGCAAGGCGGGTCTGTAGAAGTAAAATTCGCGTTCAAATATTCTGGTAAATTTGTCTAAGGAGTCTACTAATTTTAAAACTTAACTTTGTTTATATGTTTATTTCAATTAAAAGCAATGACCATTGAGAATATTAATAAAAAATCAAATAATGTATTAATATTGAAATATCAAGAAAATGTTCATTTTATTATGGGCGGGAATGAAAATATACCTGTTAATTTAACAGGTGAATTAACAAAATCGTTAGACAAAAAGCAAAATAGTCGAGGACAAATATTTTTCCTTATGGGCGAATATGATAAAGCACTTGAAGCAGAAACTGAACCAAATAATATAATAACACTAAGATATCGGGGAGAAATTTATTCTACAATGAAAAAATGTAATGAATCAACTGCTGACTTTAGAATTTGTTAAAAATTAAGCCTGGTGACGAATGGGCAACAAACGCCCATGAATTAGTTAAACATTGTAAGCGAAATGTGCATTTGTAAATTTTAGGTTTTAAATTTAACTAATTCACATACTGTGTGTCACTCCTACAGTCTGTAAGTTCTTTACAGTAATTTTTTTTTTTTACAATAAATCATGATACAAGTCAATACCCTAACGAACGCTATTTTTAACTAGTCCACATACTTTGTGTCAATACAGCTAGTAAGTTCTTTACAGATTTTTTTTTTTTTTTTACAGTAAATCACGGTACAAGTCAATAAATACCCTAGCGAACTTTAATTCTAATTAATCCACATATTTGTGTCAATACAGCGAGTAAGTTCTTTTAAAAATTTTTTTTATAGTAAATTATGGTACAAGTCAATATTCTAACGAACGTTAATTCTAACTAATCATATACTTTGTCAATATAGTGTGTAAGTTCTTTATAGACTTTTTTTTTTTCAGTAAATTATGGTACAAGACAATAACCTAACGGACATTAATTCAAACTAATCCACATGCTTTGTATCGTCTCTGCAGTTTGTAAGTTTATAGTTTTTTTACAGTAAATCACGGTACAAGTCAATACCCTAACAAATGTTAATTCTAATTAATCCAAATATTTTGTTTGTCAATACAGCTAGTAAGTTCTTTATAAACTTTTTTTACAGTAAATCACGTTACAAGTCAATACCCTAACGAACGTTAATTCTTAATAATCCACATGCTTTGTGCCACCTCTACAGTCAGAATTTTTTTTTATAGTTAAGTCACGGTACTCTAATTATAACTAATCCACATACTTCTTGTTAATATAATGAGTAAGTCCTTTATAGAATTCTTTTTTTTTACATTAAATCATACCCTAACAAACATTAATTTTAATTACAGTATGTAAGTTCTTTATAAAATTTTTTTTTACAGTAAGTCATAATACAAGCCAATACTTTAATAAATATTAATTCTAATTAATTCATATAAAGAGAATAACATATTATTGTGAATATTTTTAAAAAATTATAATGAGTTAAATAATAAAATATTAAGTTAAAAATTATATAAAAAATTGCTTAAATTTAAAATTTTTATATAAAAAAAAGGCAAAAATAAATTGGCGACCCGTCGCACCGCGACGGCAACACCAGGGCGTAGGATCGATTTGACTATCATGTGATTTTCCGAAATCAATAGTCTTTGAACAAAAAATTTAATTTATGTTAGGGTTTTGGCGTTAGTTAAAGTTAGAAAGAAGGATACTATAGCAAAATTGCACAAGGAAATTTTTTTGTTAGAAACGAAATGTCGATTTACTAGTGTAAATTTTAAGATAAACGTGATTTTGCAAAGCGAACGGTTTGTTTTGAAATTTTTACGTTGCACCAGATCTTGAAATTTAATTGGCTAATTGTTGTCGGAAAATCACATGACAGTAAAATCGATCCTACGCCCTGGTGTTGCCCACTGCGACCCTTATATGATCGGCCAATCATATTTAAGATTGGTGATTATGTCTCCGGAGTACTAGATTCGATCCAGATTTAGATCGATCTACGGGTAAATCTAGATTTTATTTTTATTTTTATTTTTTTTAATTCGTGATACTCCAACTTCTTTGGATTTTCTTTAGATAAGTAAAAATTTTTTTTTCTTCTTGTTTTTTTTTTTTTTTTTTTTACTACAGTAGCTTTTTTTTTGTTACAGAGTACTAACTTCTTTCTTTTTTTTTAGGTGCTTCTTTTCTTGGAGTCGTCATTTTTGAAGTCGTCGTCGTTCTTAGAATTGTAGTGGGAGTCGAGATCTTTGTCGGTTTAAGTGTTTTTTTTTTTTTTTTTACTAGTTTTTTTTTGTTATTGGTACTAATTTCTTTCTTTTTTAGATGCTTCTTTTCTTGGAGTCATCATTCTTGGTCGTCATTCTTGGAATCATAGTGGAAGTCAAGACCTTCGTCGGTTTAAGTGTTTTTTTTTTTTTTTACTAGTTTTTTTTTTTGTTATGGGTACTAACTTCTCTCTTTTTAGGTGCTTATTTTCTTGGAGTCATTGTTCTTGGAGTCGTTGTTCTTGGTCGTTGTTCTTGGAATTGTAGTAGGAATTGAAATCTTTGTCAGTTTAAGTAGTTTTTTTTTACTAGTTTTTTTTTTTTTTGTTACGAATACTAACTTCTCACTTTTTAGGTGCTTCTTTTCTTGGAGTCGTCATTCTTTGAGTCACCAGTTTTGGAATCGTTGTAGTAGTGGGAGTCGAGACCTTTGTCAATTTAAGTTTTTTTTTTTACTAGTTTGTTTTTGTTTTTTTTGTTATGGGTACTAACTTCTCTTTTTATAGGTAGTGCTTCTTTTCTTGGAGTCATCGTTCTTAAAGTTATTGTTTTTGGAATCGCCATTTTTGGAGTTGCTGTTCTATATTGGAGAAAATGGATGCTTCTGGCGTCTTCGTTTTGTCTTTGTGGAAAATCGGTTGATGCATAAGGTTGGGCGAAGTGTTTTTTAGATTAGGATTTTTTTTTTTATATAAATAAAGTGTGAAGTTGACACCAGATTAATATTTGTATAATGATGCATCGTTGATTTTTTTTTTTTAAAAAATAAAAAATTTCGGGTTTTACCTAATAGTATAGATGCAGACTTATTTACGTCATTAGTTATGGCTCAATTGATTTTTTATATAGGACGTAACTAGGTGATGTCATAAATCTGCATCTATACCTAGTAGTGATAGATCGATCAAAATCAGTCTCATGATTCATGTGATTGATTTTGATTGGTCGACCACAGGGTTGCTATGGCAATGGGTCGCCCTAAAACAATGCTCTAAAAAAAAATTATAAAATTTTATGCAGTAGTTTTTGAAATAATTAATATTATATAATTTTGTATAATGTTATATAAATATATTTATCCCTTAAACGGTAAGCAATTGCAGGCAAATTTGCCTGCAATTTTTACTATTGTGGTATTACATATAAAATTTTATGAAATTTAAATTTTATACGTTCAAATTTTTATTGTAACTAACTGATTAATGCTGTAGACAACTTGAACTTTTACTTGTGCTATTACATAGAAATTATATAATATAGATATATTTGCAAATCAACTAATTTTAATTAATTACTAATTTCTTTTAAAATTCACTAACTATCTTTAATTTTCTCAGTGTGTTTCGATTATAACCATAAGAAACCTTAGTAAGAAATGTAAAATTCAATATAAAAATTAATTTTTTACTATTAATTTTACAATTCTGAAGTTGGATTTTGACTTTGCATTTGAATAAAAAAAAAAAAGTTTATGAAATTTTCTGGTTTTTTCCCCTTTTTTTTTTTTTTTTTTTTACAAGAAAAAGTAATACAGAGAGTAAATATATTGTATTTAACTATCAGATACTTGTTATTAATAGTTTGATATATTGTTATTGATTGGCCTTAAAAAGATTCACGTCAATTTTAGTTAATATATGGAACGTGTAGTATGTTCAGATATATTTGGAAAGAAGAGTGTTAACTTCCGGAAGAGTACAACTTCAGAGTTTCAGAGTAATTATATACAAGCTATTGCTGTATTAGAGAATCTTCATCAGATATAATTACTGAACCCAAGTAAAATAGAGATATAGTCTATGTGATTTGAGCTAAAATAAAAATCAAGATTTGCATATTTCAGTATTTATTTACCGCATTATTGTACAATCGTAAGGTCATATTTTTTTGATTATCCTAACCCATAATAATATATATATATATATTTTTAATTACCTGACCTATGTATGAGTTTTTTTTTTTTTTTGCATAGTATTAATTACTATCTTCCTTTCATGTATGATATTCTTTGAACAATCGCTTTTATTCTTGCTACAACATAAAGGTACATCGCATTTAATGCAATAAACTTGAGATTGTGGCGGGTTTTTGGAAGCTTTTTTATTTTTTTTTTGCCAGATATCTGCACCATACACAGCTAATTCTATCTTTTCTCCATTCAGGTAAATGTCCTTCCAGTGATAACCTTAATAAAGGAAGCTCAAAATTGCTTGTTATATATTGTTTTCTTGAAACATTAGTATCAATATTTTTAGTCAATTCTTTAACTTGACTTCGAGTGCTTGGTTTTTTTATTGAACTATTTTCTTCCATACCTGTACTAATTAGATCCCATATTAGCTAAATTTGAAAGTTCTTCTGACTAATATTTTTATCATTTTTTAAAAATTAAATATGAATTGATAATAGAAGTATCTACTAGCCAATAAAATAAGAGCATCCAAGTCCTTCTTACTGCCAATTAGATATTATAATACCCACGAAGCTGGTTGGCTATATCTACTCCACCCATATGATGATTATAATCATTAATTATACAAGGGATTAGCAAGGCTTTTTTACTAGAAGTTCCAAAAATTGCCTGCACTTTTGTCACATTAGTGCTTGTTTCCCGAAGCCGACATCGAACTCTTTCAATTCTGTTTTTATCTCCAGTAACTTCATGAATGGTAGTTAGCATAGTTACTGATCTATTATCCATCCATAAAATAGCCAAAACTTCACCAACTATTACTCCTGATAATGTATCCCAATTTAATTTTTTATCTGTTTTAAGTATTTTGGGAAATTTCGCACTATTTGTTCGTACGGTTCCACATGCCCCAAAATTATTATTTCATAAGTATTAGAAAAGATTAATAGATGAAAAATAGTTATCCATGTATATGTTAAAGGATTTATTTAAAGGTAATTGAGAAACAAGATAATAAACCTCATTTCTGACTTTATTTAAGTTTGGAATTTCTTTTACTTCGAGATTATTTTGAATACGTGAAGTAAAAATAAAGGCATATGTATAGCCTGCATCACAAAGAGAAAGAATTTTGTAGCCTTCTGGAGTAGGCTTATTTTTAATTTTTACGGTATGCATACTTTGACCCAAGAATCGCACTATCATTTCATCAATTGATACGTTGAATGCCAGAATACAAATTGATCTAGAAATTGATTGAATGTGACTTGCCAATGGATTTAATTTGGAATACCAATATAAAGGAGGAATCATACAGTCTGAAATATGCATAAAGCATTTAATCTAAAAAAAAAAAAAAAAAAAAAAAAAAAAAAAAACCAAATTTTTAAATAAATTTCATAATGAGTAAAATATTTATTTAAAAAAATATTGAACATACTTGTTCAAAATGAAGACAAGTCATAAAAGTTGCTATTTTATGTTCTGAAAATCTACTATCCATATTTCAATAATCTCTAATACTAGGTAATTTAAAAATACCTGTATATATTAATATTGCCAACCAAATTTTAAATTCTCCTACTGTCAACTTCTTTCATTTACGACCCTCTCCCGCACCTTTTAAGTAAGTATATTTATTAGTATTCTGAATTATCATATTTAATTGCTCAAATGAAAAAAAAGTACTAAACATTAAGTAAGGCGATGATAAAGAAGATTCATATTTAGTGGGTAAGTGTAAAGTAAATTTATGTATCGGTTTTAAATATTGAAATGTATTAAAAAAAGGGGGCAGGAAGTTGTTGAATTTCAGTTTCACAAGTTTGACTATGACTTTGACCATGGTCACGACCACGACCACGGCTATGGCCATGACCACGACCTTGGCTTTTATCACGATTATGATCTCTTGTTTTTTCAACTTGATTTTCTTGAATATTTTCACCTTGAATACCATTATTTTCATTATCGTCTGACTCATTTTGCTCACGATTTTCATGAATACTACATGTTAGCTCTGCAATATACACTTCGTCATCATCCTGTTCATTAAATATTAAAGATTCCATTGTGAAATAATGAATAACGAAAAAAAAAACTCAATTATTTATTAAAAATATCATATGTGAGAAAAAAGTTAAGGGATTCTTTAGATGGTTAGTATCGTGCTTTTTTGAAATATATAAGGCGTAATAAACTAATCAAATATATTAATCGAATATTAATCAATATCTATCTAGAACGGAAAAATGATTAGCTAAATTTGTAAAAAAATATAAAACGATCTACATCTAAATTTGGAAATTGCAGGCAAATTTGCCTGCAAAACCGTTTAAGGGATAATAAAGAAGATAGATTAAATTAACTAGCATTATAATAATGCTGGCTAATTTTATCTCATAATATGATTTTTTATATAGTAAAAAATTAAAAACATATACTGTATAAATAATACTTTAAAAATTGATCAACATTATTTTTTCAGCATCAGTAAAATATTTACTTATATTCGGGCCTTGCCACCATTTGTTAATACAAACTAACTTCTTAACCTTTTTACTATTTTTTAACTGATCCTCATTCTTCTTTCACTTTTCATCTGAATAATAGGCATTCTCTTCTTTGCTTCTTGTTAAGATCTCTAAGTTTTCTTGTAAATACCTTCTAATACTTTTATTTTCTGACTTTATTAAATATGTTAATGCTTTTCGTCTCCTTTTCTTCTTATATAATATAGTAATTTAAATTATTATATTTCACTTACAAATCATTTATTTGATAAATCAGTAAGAGATTACCAATATGTTAGATAAATGATTTGTGGGTTAAGTAACAAATCATTTATCTAATATATTGATAATTTTTTATAGATATATTAGGTAAATGATTTGTTAGTCAAGTAGTTCTAGAATTGATTTTTTTTTTTTTTGGTATTAAGGTGAGGCCTTGCTCATATCTTTATTAATAATTTTAAAAATAGTAACTACATTAAAGAGATACTACTATTTGTACAAGTACAAATAAAAACAAAAATTATATGCAAGAATAGAAGCTCAGACATATTTATCTGCGACCTAAACCCACTAGAGTGGTCAAAGACTCACCTAGGTTTTTTCTAGAATTGATTTAAAAAATAATTTATATAACAAATTTTATTATACTTACCTCATTCACCTTACTATTTTTCTCTATTCTGGCACGATTGTAGGCCTTTAAGTTTGAATCTGCATTTATTGTTGCTGTTTAATATTTCATTTTATGATATTGTTTTAAAATTTTTTCAGTTGCATCAGAATGGTGACAATATCCTGATAATTTTTTTGTAATAGCTGGAATCAGCTTTTGCCTAACATCCTGTGATTAGCTAACTCATTGTTTAGTCAGATTAGGCTTTAGATTAGATAGCTTACCACCTTCTATTAATACTTTAATTTTGTCTTTTGGTAATAATAATTATAATAATATTATTAATAAAAGTAAATTAATTATTTTTTATTTTATTTTATTTTTTTAAACTTGGCTAGGAAAGCTGATGAAGCCTTTATTAGATCTATTTATAGATACATACATAATTTTTGAACTATATTACAACCTATTGCCAGGCTATACTAATCCAATTAGTGACCCAACCTTTATCTGACTACCCTAATGGATGCCTAAATATATCTTAATTGCACCACCAGCACGCTATGGCAAAAACCAACACTAGCAGTCAGGATATCTCCTACTCTGAAGAGACATTGTATTAAACCGTTTACCAGTAGAGAGGATCAGACTCATATTTGATACTACTTCTGCATTCTGAAACTATTATATCTAGCTAGACTATGTTTTCTGCATTATCCACCTTATTGCTCCTATATAACTCTCAAATTAGTAACATTCAGGTTATAGATTCTGATGATCTCCCAGTTTGGTGTGCCATATTATTAGTTCTTCTAAAAAAATTCTAACAAAGGTTCAGGATCTGCAGGAACTCATATCTCAAGCCAAAAACTGCTGCTTAGTTAGGTTCGCTACATGACAAAGTTGGTATTTCATTGATGGGTATTCTCTTCCACATTTCTGCTCAGATACTACTAACCCATATCTCAAGCTAGTTTCTGCTGCTGCAGTTCGACTACAGATGTCTCAGGTTTTAATATTATATAGTTGCTCAGTGCATTCCTCTATTTTTTTAAGTACTATCTGCTATAGTGAAGTCTAGAACTTATTTCACAGATATACAGAACAATTCTGATTGTATCTAGAGAGTTATACCAACCTTAGTGACGCTATACTACTATATTATACTTGCTTCCAGCATGTTGTCATACAAGATCAGAACAATTCTGATTAATTCAGGGAGTTACACTGCCCCTGGTGATGCTGTACTACTATATGAATTATAAACCTTAGAGGTTGGTAGATCCTAAACTTATTTATTATAGACTTCCATATAGGTATAACTAAAGCCTGATTTAGTACTTTTATATATACTCAGAATGTTAAACAATCTCTATATTCTTGCCTTCTATAGTATTTATATTCTGTATTGCCAGAGGTGCTTCTGTTTTTAGTAAGACCAATCCTTTATCACAGTCTGTCTATGTGCTTATCACTTTTCTTACTACTCCAACATTGGTAATGATGATCACCCTCCCAATCAAGTACCTGTATCTTTAATCCAGATAAAGACTAATTCACGCAGTTCATTGACTACCCTTCCAAGCAAGTACCCCACAAGTTGAATGTAAGGATGTTGGTATTGCCTAAACTGAAGATATAAGGATGTTGATGCTGCCCCGTCTTGAAGGACTTACTTGCGCAATCTTTATAGCAGTAGCCTTCTATAACACCACAGTTATATGTAGTGCCCACCCTCCATGTTTGGGTCTCTTTTCAGAAATTTCCAGTCCAAAATTATACTTGCACTTGGACTTAGCCACAGAGCTTCACATTCAATTATGGCTTCCTAAAGTTAAAGAAACAAATTAAATAATTTGCCTTCAGCCCGATTTAAACTGTCGATCTTGTTTGTGGAGGTTTGAGAGCTTAACTACTAAGCTACAGGTCTCAAACTCAAAGTAAATTAATTATAATAACAATAATAAAAGTAAATTAATTATAATAACATTAATTATAATAACAATAATAATAA